AGCTCAGGTGGCTTAGTGGTAAGGAATTGCACTGCTGATGCAAAGTTAAGTGATTTGAATCCACCAGCTGTTCTGAGGGAGAAATATGGGCAATCAATTCCCATTTAATTTACTGCCTCTAAAAATTCACTGGAAGGGTCAGCTATATGTTGCTTCTGATCTGACAGTACATAATAACAACTAATATGAAAGAAGGAACTGTGGTGGCTTAATGGTAAGGAATTGTGCTGCCAATCCAAGGGGATGTGGTTTGAATCTACCACTTGCTCTGCTGAGAAAGACACTATCTACCCATGTGATTTACTGCCTCCGAATACCTGTTGGAGGGTCAGCTGTGAAGTTGGTTCTGACTTGATGGTACTCAACCACAACTGTTATAAAATTTAAAGAAGGGTTTATAGTTAGAAAGTATCATTCTTGTGTGGTTACCAAAGATAAGGAGAGTGAAAGGGGAGTAAAAATTGGTAAATAATTCAGTATTAAGATAGCTGAAGGAAAGGCAATGAGAGGATGATCAGCACAATTATCACTGAAGCTGGGAAGCATACAGCAAGTACAGAATATAGTCAATTATTGACATCTAGGCAGACAAAATGAACAGATGTGGACAGGTGAAAAGGACTACACCCAGGACAATTTGTAGCTTTGGCAGATGAGATTTCTACACTCATGTGTAAGTTGTAAAAAACATCTGTGTATATAGAAGAGCCAATAGGGGACAACACTTTTTAAAAAAAATTCAAATTTTTAAAAAAAATTATTTTGTGTGTGTACCATCGAATTGGATTCTACTGGTGCAGGAGGAGATTGTTCTTCCTTCTCCAGTGGAGCATCTGGTGGATTTGAACTGCACACCTTCAGGAAGCAGTGCAGCTTCTTGCCACTAGGCCACCAGATCTCCCTGGCAATGTTTTTTATAAACTTCTTAATTAAAACTTAATATTCTGAGGGAAAGAGTTGTTGGATCTGGTGCTTGGGGGATATTAAAACCAACTGGCATAACACAGTATACAAAGACAATTTTCAATGTTCAAATAAAGACATCTTGCTTTGATTAGAGTAACTGGGCTCTTAAAACTTTTTTAGATGTCATCTAAGGTGCAAATATTGTTCTCTTCCAGTTAGGAAACAATGAAAAGGAAGAAAAGCAAAGATGTACTAAAACTTTTGTTAGTTAAAAGTCCTAATGGATCATGTGGACCTCAACGTAACAGAACCCTGAAACCAGAAACTTAGATGGTACTCAGTTACCACCACTGACTGCTCTCAAATGGAACCCAGTGCATGATCCTGGATAGAGTAAGGGGACACGATGAACAAAACTTAAATACATTATAAAGGCCAGGCTCACTACTCCAACAGACTGGTGGAACTAAGACCACCATGGCCCTTAGTTACCCTTAGAACTTGGAACAAAACTCACTCCTGCACCTCAATTTTCAAAGAACACATAGGCCTATATGATGACCAGTAACATCAAGAAGGCACTTACTCCTCTGAATAACCATGCTGTTGCTAGGTGCCCTTGCGTCAGATATAACTCAAAGTAACCCTATGAAGGACAGATCTAAACCCTGTCCTATCCTGCATCATAATCACATCTATATAATATGATGAGTGCGTCTTCCTTTGCTGCACATTTTAACACTTTGTCTTCTCAAGACAAAAATAATTAAACTGTAGCATCTATTCTTTGGCTTTTAAACAAGATTTTAAAAATTTGTTTCTAAAACTAAATGTTAAAGTTAAAACTGGCACAGATTAATCAAGTTGATTTCTGGCATTTCAGAGATATGTGTGCTGTTCTATGTACAAAATGTAACAATTTAAAAATAAACTATTGATTCTTATTTATGACTAAATGTTCACTTTTTATATTCACATTT